ATATTTTTTTCTTATAAAAAATTTAAATTTTAAAAATTAAAATTATAAATCATAATTATAAATATATACACGAAGCGAGCTTAGGGCATGTTCTTTTGTCTAAAAAACTCAAAAAAAGATAACTCAAGTTTTAATTTTATTTAAGTTCACATTTTTTTAAGTTTTAACTTTATTCAACTTCCCTCAACTTTATTTAAGTTACAACTTCAACTCAAATTCAATTTAAAAATTACACTCAAATTATACTAAAAAAAATCACCCCTTAAATTGCTCCAACCGGTAGGACCCCGGCTGCACAAAGTCTCAGAAAAGAAAAGGAAAAAAGACAAAAAAATCGCTGTCTTATCAGTTATCACAAGAGCCCAAAAAATACTTCTTGCTCAGCAAGAAACGCGACTCGTGTTTTGTCCTTGATAGATACTCTCTTTTTCACTTCATCATTATCATGCACACATGAACTAAACCAACTCGACTCACTGAGTTGAAGCTGTTTTTTTTTATGTCGTCCACTTTCGGCGACAAATCTCTCGTCTTCTTGAGAAAACGATACCAAACAACGCCATGACGACGAGCTCTCAACGGCGTCTCTGCGACTACTGCGACGACACGACGGCGGTGCTGTACTGCCGGGCGGACTCGGCGAAGCTCTGCTTCTCGTGTGACCGGGAAGTCCATGGCACGAACCAGCTGTTCGCGAAGCACGCGCGGTCGCAGCTCTGCGACGCGTGCGACGACGCGCCGGCATCCATTTTCTGCACCGCGGAGAGCTCCGTTCTCTGCCAGAACTGCGACTGGGAGAGGCACAACGACACCGTTTCGGTGGTCCACCACAGGAGGCCTCTTGAGGGTTTCAATGGCTGCCCTTCGGTGACGGAGCTTTTGGCGATTCTGGGGTTTGAGGATGTCGATAAGAAGGGTCTGTTTTGGGCAGAGGAAAATGGGTTTTTTGATCGGTCTTCGGATTTGTTGATGTGGGATGTTCCTTCGGTTGTTGGGCTTGATGATTTGATTGTTTCGGATTCGTCTCGGAGCTTCCAGGCTATGGGGATTCCTCCTCTGCCTAAGGTTTTATATAATTCTCTTTTCTGTTGCAGTTTTATATCAATTTGGTTGCTCAAAAACAGAGGAAATACTTTTTTTTTCTTTTTTTCTTTTTGCTATGATTAATTGTTTATGATTGCTTTTGCTCTCGAAAGTTGCTTCTTTTTCTTTTCTTTTATTTCCCTTTTAAGTGTCCATTTCGTGAATTATTAGTTTAAAGTTTCTTTTTTTTTCTAAGAAAAAGGAGTTCGAAAAACTAAATAAATAAATAAAATTTTATTTTCCCAGTTTTTAATTAGTGTCGAGTTTATTTCAGTTTTCACTTATACGTTTTCGTCGAGATTTGTTATATT